TACTGGTACTACTACTGGTACTACTAGTATTGCTACTACTACTCCTCTTATATGATTTCATTTTGTCACGATTTGAACAGGACTTTGCTAGAAATGTAGCACCAATTCTGGATTTATTTTGTTTTGATCCTTGTTTCGTGAGGTTTTTTTATTGGTTTTTGCCTAGGCTTCTAGAAATGTAGCACCAATTCTGGATTGATTTTTGTTGATCCTTATTGCGTGAGGTATTAGTAGGTTTTGCCTAGGATTTTAATAGGATTGTAATATTTATTTTTTGATCCTTAATCTTAATTGTTTTTGATCCTGAGGCTTAATTTTTGTTGATCCTTATTTATTTTTTTGATTCTTCACCTCGCACTCACTCACTCACTCACTCACTCACTCACTCACTCACTCACTCACTCACTCACTCACACTCACTCACTCACTCACTCACTCACTCACTCACTCACTCACTCACTCACTCACTCACTGGTCGTTGAAAAGATTGTGAATGACATGTTTTTGGTTTCCGACTGTTTTGTCGTTTCCATGTGGGAGAAAGCCAGCCCTCCACAGAAACTGCTCACCCTGCCAAACCCTGGCCCCGAAACCGACCGGGTCTGTCCCGAAATTCGGCCCCGAAGCTGCCACCCGTTGATCCGACGAAATCTACGGAGTCCGATCCGAACACCCGGGGTTTACGAACCCTAGGCCCTAGGCTTGAGCCCATTTCGACAGGGACATGGGTGCTTTCGTGAAGCTCTTCTTCTGGACAGATGCTGGGAACATCTTGGGCCTGGTGCCTCCCGGGCACAGCAAAGGCCTTTGGGTAAGTTTTTCTTCCGGCCCCTTCTGTTTGGTGTTCTTGGGCTGGGTTCACGGACCCTGTAGGGGCCTAAGGCTTCGCTCACATATAGGTTCTTGTTGTAGTACAGTAGTATTGGGTTTGCGGCAGCACTAGCTTGTGGGTATTTTGGCAGCGTCCCCTTTGCGAACAGCGGCATCTACACACCGGTGCACTCCATTTCCTACTCACCTGCATCTGTGTCTCTTGCGCTACTCAAGCGCATCCTATTTCGCGTCTTCATCTCCATGCCAAGAGAGCTGGCACAGACGGGCGGGAATCGAGCATTCAGACAGTGCAGGAGTCATCTTGAATCGACGAGCTCGAAGTGTGAGAGGGGTGGAGTATTTATCGCATCGTGTTGACCTGCGACATTACACAAAGAGGAGACAGTTGAATATGGTGTGTATCGATCTTGTAGAACGCGAGGCTCGGAGGTGCCAGGCCGATCCAGACCTCCCCCTAGGGTCACACGTGCAAAGATGTCGAGCTGTCCCGGTGCCGGTCCTGCTGTGATTTGGCATGGTGCTGAACAGTGAACAGAAGAAATGCGCAGGTAATTGGCAGAAAGGGTGTAGGTCCAGGTCTGACAATAGTGTGTCCTCGTCGGTAGCTCAAGAACGTCGGCTTGTCGACTCTGTGGCTTGGGTGTGGTCGTCCTGCTTGCCTTCACAGGCGCTGGCAAGCTTCGCCTCGTCTCCTTCATGTCTGACGACTTCCCGAACAACTGGCAGGACGAAGTAGAGGTGGAGGATGGCGTCTGGTACCATGTCATGGCTTCTCATCAACAACTGAGAAGGCAGAATCGCCGCAGCAATCGTAGCGTTCCCAGGTTACCTTCCGGCCTGCGACCAGGGCCGTCGAGTTGAAGCTGCAGGCACGGGACTGCTGCAAACTAGCGGGAGTGCAGACGTTTGAAGCCCAGGGTACCGACTTCAGCAGCGGCACCATCCCGGTGGACATGCTCGTGCTCTCGAACGGGCCCCAGCTGGGTATCTACTCCTTCGACTATTCTGGATCATGGCCAAGCGTCTTGTCCCTACATCGGAAGCGTTTTTCGATACACGCTCGCATCTTCTCGTCACAATGTAATCTTTTAGGTTTGTTGGTCTTTTTCCCTTCCCTTTCTTATTCATAGCGCAGCAGAAGAGCCACCTCTGTGTCTTGTCGCAGCAGATTAGCAGTGGCAAGAAAAGTGCTACCTCAATGAGGGCACAGGGGACGAGTCGGATATAAGATATTTACAGGCTTCCTCCGATCTGCGGCGTTTTTGTCAAGGCATGTTGTTGAAGCCGAGGCGATGGTTTCGCCCTCTGGATAAATCACCCCTGTGTGGGAGAAGCCAGATGCACATCGAGTACGGTCACCAGCACCATGAGCCCATCTCCGAGCATCTTGGCTCGTGGTCGGCAGAGCTTGGTCCTTTTGCCAGCAGCGGCAGGTATACTCCAGATCCAGTTGCGATATCTAAGAGGCGAGCATCTAGAATCTCGTTCTGTCAAATTTTCTTTCATGAAGCGGTTAGAGTCAGAGGACAGTTGTGCCCCGGATTCGTGTACAGTACGCAAAAGACCAAAGATGACCTCCCACCAGCCTAAGGCACAACTCAGGGCACCACTCCTGCCGGCTGTTCCCTGCCGAGTGGCATGGGAGCAGGCATCCCCGCTCCTCGGCACCAAGTGGTTATGGCATGCAAAGGCATTGGGAAGCACCAAGGTGGATCGCCGCGGCTTCGCTTTCCAGCACGGCAAGCTCACGCTCTCCGGTCCTCAGCTGGTCAATCTCAGGGGTGATTCTGTGCAACTGATCCTTGGCCATATTCCGAGAACAACTCTCGAGGTCTTATTAGCAGTGGCATGCTGAGAGCTCGCCGAATTGAGGAAGGGCATGTCAACTCACGGACTGCATTGGTTTCCGGAGTGCTGCTTGTCTGCGGGGATTTTGATTATGCTCTGACCAGAAGCAGCTCAGGGATAAACTCTGAGGCTACGAGAAGAGCATGCTGGAGCACCTGGTCTCCAGCTGGGGCATCACCGTGTTCAGAGCGGCCATGTACATCGGTGAGGGTGGATATGCCTCGGACAACTCAGCAGGGTGCCAAGTGCTCACCAAGGATGCAAGGATAGCAAGAGTTGCTCTTCAGCTGCTTTGGGACTGGGGTCGGAGCATTGCTTAGGTCGCACAGCTGGTGGACGAGATCGTTGCTTGGGGTGAGGAGTTCGGAGTCTATATCATCATCGACTGGCATGCCGGAGACTCGACACCGCTTCCTGCATGTTTGTGAAAAATCATAGTTTCTGCAGTCTTTTCCACAGGTCTTGACGCCCGGAGATCCGAACCACTGGCTGACCGGTGCGGGTGCATCTCAAGCAGATGCTGCGGCTTACTGGCGTGAGACAGCCCTGAAGTACAAGAGCAAAACCCACGTTCTTTATGAGATCTGCAACGAGCCCAACGGTGTGGACTGGCCCGCCGTCAAGATGTACGCCGACAGCATCATCTCTGTGATCCGCGAGGCCCATCTCTATGCTTGGGTCGGTAACACTCTGCTGAATAACTTTCGTTTGCCGAGGTCGATCCAGAGACAATCATCATCGTTGGTACGCCAACCTGGAGTCAGGCTTAGCTGCAAAGAGTTGCAAAACCCGGTAATGAGTGGTGATTCTTGATGTTCCAGCATTGTTTTGTGATGCAGGATATCGACAAAGCTGCTGCAAACCCCGTCCAGATGCCCTATAATGCCTCCTGACATGCGCTGGGGATTTGAGACAGGGACTAGCTTCGGCAGACTGAGACGTGAGCTCCCGCATGTCATGTTTGTCTCTTCCCCTGAGGTCATGTATGCCTTCCACTTCTATGCAGGGACGCACAGCTTTCTCCTTCCGCGCTTGCGCCAGTATGCTTCGCAGATTCCCATCTTCGCCACGGATTCTTGGCCAATGTTTTGCTAGCATCGATATTGCAAGTGCGTTCCAACACCGTATCCGTAAATGCAACTTGATGAGCTTAGCCTCACGAGCCGTGGCCAAGGAGTGGGGTACCAGCCAGGCGAACGGGGACGGCGGGCCCTACCTGCAGCAAGCCAAGGCCGGAGGCTAAGTGAGAAGGATCTGCTACGATTCTGTTTGTGGATTCTGTCTGGAGTACAGACGTAAATCCAAGTGGAGTCGCAGGAGTTCTTGGATCTTTTCGGCAACGGAGAGCTCGGGGTCACGGTGAGTTGGGCCCAGTGGAGCCTGGCAGACAAGGCGGAGGTCTCGGCTGCTCTCAGCAGTGGAAGCTGTGGATCTGATAGCATCCCAGCTGTGAGTTGAGGCGTTGGGGAGTATCAGTATCACGTCCTCGCCGCATGCGGGGTTGATGTAGCTGCTGCTTCGACCGGTTAAGGCTGGGACGGCGTGTCTTGCTCGGGCTTCTTCGTCCGATCGTATTTGAGAATGCATGCAGAAGATCCCACCACAACTGGTCCCCCACCGACTTCGACAGTCACCGCGAAGCCCACCACCCAACCTGTCACAACAACCACCACTCCGATGGGCACAACAACCTCTTCGACTGTGGTTCCAACAACTACCCAGACCCTGGTGGTAACGCTTCTGGGTATGATGAATTATTTGTTTCTACTGATGAAGGCTTTTGGTTCCTATTGCTGCACTTCTCTGCGACACATGTAAGGATGGGTCCTCCCATTGTGCGGGATATGCCTGCCGAATGTGGCGGGTGGTGCCAGTATAACGACAATGAATGGGCAACCAAGTGCATGTGGACACTTGCCTTAAAACTAACTGACAATCTGTGACAGAAGAGTGAATGTTGTTGCCAACTCAGTGAAGGCATGTTCATCCCCTCTAGTGTCCGAAAGATCCGGTAACTTCCCTAAAGCGTATGTTGTCTGGAAAAAAAGGCTGCAGAATACCCGCATCACCATAGGTCATGAGTCATAAGCCAAGGATTGGCTGCAGCTTGTGCGCAGGATGTGGAAGTGTCACAACGACTCATGCGGCCACGACGATGACGTCTTCATCGACTGTAGTCACAAGCACCGCGAGCACAACTAGGGTTGTCAGCACAAACGAGCCGACGACGACAACACTGGCAAGTACGGCTGCCCCTGTCACAACCGCAACCACCACCACCATCATGGCAGCAACGACTGCCCCAAGGGGCCCCTGTGCAGCACTGTATGGCCAGTGTGGTGGCAATAATTACGCTGGACCAACCTGCTGTGAATCTGGATCCACTTGCACATTCGGCAATGACTACTACTCACAGTGCCTCCCTGGCTCCTCCCCTTCTCCAACACCTGCTCCTCCAACACCTGCCCCTCCAACACCGTCACCGTCTCCATCACCGCCCTCTCCTCCCGGGCCTGTGGGCAGCAATCCATTCGAGGGACACCCCTGGTACGTGAACCCATCTTACAGGGACTTGCTGTCCACGTCGATCAATCTGACGAGTGGTGGGGTGCGGGCGACCTTAGAGTCCATGCAGAACGTGCCCTCGGCCTTCTGGATTGACGTGAAGTCCAAGATCTATAAGGGACAGGGCCACCCGGATCACAGCACGGTGGAAGGGATTCTGGAAGACGCCGCAAGCTGCTCACCTCCCAGCCTTGTGGTGCTCATCGTTTACGACCTTCCCAACAGAGACTGCTTTGCGCTAGCTTCAAACGGAGAAATCTGCTGCCACTATGGTGAAGACAAGGGCCGAACTAAGTGCGACATGTCGACTTCGGGACCGAATGCTGGCTTCTACCGGGAGGTGGCCGGAGCCAACTGTGCCGATGGCCTCGCCGAGTACAAATCGACCTACATCGACCCTTTCGCGGAGGTCGTCGGGCGCTTTGCCGACAGGGTGCCGGTGGTTCTGGTGATTGAACCTGACTCCTTGCCCAACCTGGTCACCAACATGAAGGACAAGAGGCCTGACAACTTCCGTGGTTGTCACGACGAGACGAAGGTGGGGACTGGTTTTGGGACGATAGTTTCGTTGGGGGTTGATGGTGAGAGATAGAGAACTACGTAGGTGCCCATCAGGTGGCTTATGAGGAAGGTATCCGCTACGCCGTCGAGAAGCTCTCCGTGACCGGGGCACAGCTGTACGTGGATGCCGGGCACGGGGGTTGGCTGGGATGGGCCAACAGTACCTCTGCTGCTAGTGGATAAGTAACCAGCACATCCATTTCCTTTTGTTTCTCCTTGTTTCAGGGCATCTACGATGCCTCCTGCGAGGCAACGATGACCAAACCGGAAAGTTCGCCAACATCATCGCCAACATGCAGATTGCTGACAAGGTTCGTGGCTTCGCCACAAACGTTGCAAATTACCAGCCCTTGGGGAGTGTGGTCTGCTCGGAGCCAGGTAAGTGCAAGGGCCAGATGAGCAGCGACCCGTGTTGTGCCGATGACCCCTGCAACCTGCAAAAGGATTGGAACTGGGCGCACAACGAACTCAACTATGTGGATGTCCTGGACTACAAGATGCGAGCAGCCATTCCTGGCTTCACTCCATCCTTCATCATCGACACTGGCCGTAACGGCAAGCCGAACACGCGCAGCGACTGTGGCAACTGGTGCAACGCCAGAGGTGCGGGTATCGGTCGTGTTCCAACGACAGCCACTCCAGATGCCCGAATCGATGCATACTTCTGGCTGAAGACTCCCGGCGAATCTGATGGCTGCACGGAGGTTCTTCCAGATGGTACGAATTGCCCTCGGTTTGATGAGATGTGTGCGTCTGTGGACTCGTTGGGTAGCAGGAATGGAGAACCACGCGCCCCTGAGGCAGGACTCTGGTACCACTATCAGATCGCGATGCTGGCAGAGAATGCAGACATGGGTGATGCCTCTGCCTTTAATGTTGCAGGGAGCTGTGGAAGTGTCACAGGCTCTCCACAAGTCACGATTCTGACCGATGCATCTGTACGGAGTTCAGGGCTGGTGGCTCGACTTGGCTGGCGCACCTCAAGTTCGCATGCCTTGAACCAGGGAGTCACAATGCTGGCACTGAATACCCGCCATGCCCGCATGTTGCTCATAACTGACAACACGACGGAGGGCTTTGAGGGCAAGGACGGCGGTGTGGATCGTGCATGCCGTGGTGGAAGCAGAACCGACAATGCGCCAAGCAACTACGAGATTCACGCTGCGGCCACTTTGGATGAGTGCAAGGCGGTCTGCATGTCCGTCGAGGGATGCAGGGGCATTGAGTACAGTAGCGGCCGGTGTGAAGTGTGGACACGTGCAGGCGGCATCCAAGCCACTATCGAGCTCGCCGGCTTCAGCTGCTACACATACGGAGAAATGGCAGTGGATGATGGGTTCACTCCTGCCGATGGTGGCGTTGATCGCGCATGCCGAGGTGGAAGCAAAACCGACAATTCTCCCAACAATTACGAAATACATACTGCTGGCAGTTTGGACGAATGTAAGGCGATCTGCATATCGATAGAGAGCTGCAAGGGCATTGAGTACAGTCGGGGTCGATGCGAGGTGTGGACACGGCCGGGCGGTATCCAGGCAACCATTGAGCTTGCTGGCTTCAGCTGCCACCTTTACGAAGGAATGGCAGTAAGGGGAGAGTTTTCGCCCGTGGAAGGCGGTGTGGATCGTGCATGCCGTGGTGGAAGCAGAACCGACAATGCGCCAAGCAACTACGAGATTCACGCTGCGGCCACTTTGGATGAGTGCAAGGCGGTCTGCATGTCCGTCGAGGGATGCAGGGGCATTGAGTACAGTAGCGGCCGGTGTGAAGTGTGGACACGTGCAGGCGGCATCCAAGCCACTATCGAGCTCGCCGGCTTCAGCTGCTACACATACAGACCAAACCCTACCGCGATGGCAAAGTGTGTCGAGATGAGTGACATGTCTGCTGCCGTGTCGGTCTCCACGATTCCACTTCCCTCTCCACGGCACAACCAGTGCTCCAACTTCGGAGTTGCGTTGTCATGCCGTCATGTGCACTATGCAGCTGCTGCGGACAAGGATTTGCAGGCCGTGCTTTACAATGATGATGCAGGGAAACCTTACTTGCTGCTGGTGGAGGGAGATACCATCCTTGCCTCTCAACCACTTGCATCTTCGCCTGGACCCTACCCCGTGATGCTCGTCCGGCTGTCAGCGGCACTTGAGCCAAACTTTTTCAGTGCCTTGCCTGAGGTCTTTGGAGGTGCGAGGCCTGGACTTCGAACCTGCTGCTGACTATCTCGTGGTTCTCCTCTCCGGTGGCAGTGCATATGACAGCCCCAGCTTGTTCAAGCCTCTTGCTGGCAGGTCCGGCAGATCATAGTAAGCTTGCGAGAGTTGGGGCCCTTCCCAGTGTCCGAGGAAATTTTCGGTGCCCGGCCTCCAGGAGGTCTGGAGTGCACCGATTCGCGATCCTCAGGTCGGGCTGGAGAGGCCTGGTCAGGGGAGCAGGTGTGGGAGGACCAGATACAGTCTGGAATGAGGTGGACCCCGGATGCGGCCCAATCCCTCGCCGTGTCTTCCAGCCGCTACATCCAGCATTCGGCCGGTGAGTGCAGGCGGGAATGAGAGTCACAGTCAGTTTCGGTGCCGACTACCTCCGCGTGCTCAGGTCGGGGTGGTGCTCTGGACATCAAGGCTGCAAAAACACACTTCCCGAAGTGCGGTACTCACGCTTCGTTCTACAGGTAGATCTGCCGCTAGGTGGGATGACAGTGGTCCTTGATGCGAGCGGACAGCAGCGCTCATATTCTGGCGATGCCTGGACCTCGCATTCCTGCAAGCAGATGGCGGCCTACAGCGCCACTTGCTCAGCTCAACAGCACTCGGCTGGGGCAGCGAAGAGCCCAAGCCTGGATGAGGCCGTCTCCGACACATTCCTGCTTGCAACGGCCGGGGATGCATATCCCGACAAGCGACAGCCTCAACTCTTCGGGGGTAAGCAGCCGCACAGATGCCCAGTGATCAGGTTAGTCTTCTCAACCCTCAAGGACTTCTATTCTAGAAGGGTCTAGAAAGGCCAAGAAGGGCCTTTGGGTAGCCTCGTGCCTCGTAGCCTCAGCGATCAGGACGACGCCTTGTCGCAGACTGCCAGCTTCCAAAGCTGGGGCGACGGGGCAGGCTCTCAGGGAGTCAGCGGGGGCGCGATCAAGGCAAGCTTGTGTCCTCATGGCACCGGTTGCTAGTAGCTGCTAGTGCCAGTTCTTACGTTTGAGCATCCTGTGGATCCAATCCTGGATAGGCCGATCTGCTCGGTGGATTTGGAGCTGTCTGGACATACGGAGAGAAGGGCACCTCGAATTTGTCAGGCAGACGTTCGCCACCACTGTTCATAGAGTTTCTCTTCAACTGCCAAGGTGGACTTTCCGACAAGCTTTACTTCGCCACCTTCTCTGCCAACGGAAGTGTCTTGCCTCTGGCTCTGTGTTGCTGTCGGAGGGGCTGTCGGTTGCACAAATTGCCAGTGGTTTTCCAAGGTTTTCTGACTAGTCCTCGGCGCCTCTTTGACGATTCTGGTTCGGAGATTGGGGGCAACCTGGTCCCACTTGCAGATGGCAACTGGCTCGTGGCATACACCAAGTCGGACTCGGATGTCATCTCTGACTACTTGAGGACTTTCTTGGCTTGAGAATTGCGAGAACTCAAACTACCCGAAGAATACCCTGAACCTTGGGTCCGATACAAAAAGCTCCTCAACTCTAAACCCTCCGCCACAAGTATCAGACACAAGGCGCCTTGGAGCTCCTTAAGCCCTGCAGTGGTTTCCAGGACTCTTTGGGATGACTGGCACCTGCCGGAGGATCTCTATGTGTGTATGCAACGTTCTTGTCTTCTGCAGAGGGCCGCGATGTCTTGCGATGACCTTGGCGATGCTCGAACTTCTAGCTAAACCAGTCTAGGACAGGCAACAGCAACGACGACGATTGTTATGTTCGTGGCCATGACGATCATGATAGCGGTCGTTGTAAGGCGCCTGACATAGCCTAATAGCCTTGGCTTAAGCTCTGGCCGTGGCCCTGTGAAGTTTGGGCTTTGTGCTAGACCAGGACAATTCAGGGCTGTGATGCGGCAATGCGAAGGGCTTTGGCACCTGTCATCAAAGGGAGTCCAGCCGCAGCAGGACCTGCGACTGGAAGGAGGTCGTTTGGCTGTGGTAAGTGGCGATGGACTTGTCCTCAAGGACCTCCTACCAGCCTACTAGTGTGCGACATGCCGGCGTGCTGCACTGGACCCAAGATTCCAAACCTACTGCAGGACGGCATCAAGCTGAGCCCAGAGGCCAGCCTCCCCATAGAGATCAATCACATGGTGGCGCGACCGGACGGTTTCAGCTCCAGCCTCAGCAGCTTTGAGGGGCCAAGTGTGCTTTAAGATGGATCTGACGAATCTTGGATGTAACTTTGGACGGGTACCCCAATGGGCGCTTGGGGAAAAGTAGGTTCTGGACGTGCAGGCTTGCAGACACCAGTAGAAGCACTGGAGAGGCTTGTTGTACACACAGCCTTCGCAGGGCGAGGACGTTCTTGGGTTGTTCTTTGTTAGGGTGAGGGTATGAGAAGAGAATCGGCCGATAGGGGATGCTTTCTGTGCACTTCTGTCCGCGAAGGCCAACATCTTTTGAGGTTTGGGCAGCCGTGGTTTATGGGGTCATCCGTGTTTTGTTCTGCCGTCTTCAACTGGCGCGTCAGACATCTGTCAAGATAAGATGACTGTATTCTGAAGCTTTATAGCATCTTGCAGAACCTGCCAGAAAGCACTACGGCTGATGCAGTGAAGCAGTGTCATACCAAACCCTTACTGTACCACCTCACATGCAGCCCTGCAACAGCTTCATGTGTAGAAAGTCAACATCATTTGACAGGGATGCTTCGTTCATGCACCGCCGCAAGTATCCCCGGCTCCGGCACCATGAAGAGCCACCCACAGACACAGCTCTAACGGCTGAAGCCCCCTCCAAAAAGTGCTTCAACCGAGGTTGGGCCTCAGTGGATGCAAGTGGCCAGACTTTGCGCATCGCTCACCTCAAGTGCTCTTAGGCGCCAGCTCTTTGGGCTTGGGGCTCACTGGCACTGAAGATAATTCAGGCTGGAAGTCAATCGCTACATAAGCTCTATAGGCACTCCTTTGGCACACGACACTTGCCAGGCGGGCGCAAGGATGCATGGTATGCTCGAACCTCCATGTTTAGTTGTTTAGGTGTATAGCCTGGCAAAGCTGCAGAACTTCAGCAGCATTGCCAGAGGTGAATTTGAAGCACAATTCAACCCGTGTCAACAGGGAGAGAGCCAGAAGAAAGTTAGGGCACGAAGCTGAAAAAGCAGTCGTCGATACTTCTGCAATGAGCTTTCTCAAGTTTACACTCGGTTTTGATCTGGCGGCTTGCGAGAGCGCCTTCCTACAGAGGTACAGCTCGCGCGTTTGCAAACCGGCATCTGGTGCATGAAGTCGAATGCAGTGTGGAGCAGGGGGTGTGTAAGATATCTCGAAACTAAGCGGAAGTTGCAACTCGAGATTCGCAGATGCACTCGGCGGTACTGTGCAGCTTGCAAGAGCTTCACAGCTACAGTATAGTTTTGGTAACCCAGCGACAGCCACGGGCCTGAAAGTCCGTGGCCAAAGGTTCGCTTCTCCGTGCTGGCTAGTAGTGTCAGCTCGCGGGGCTATAGATTTGCGATGATTTCTGTCTGTCTTTGTCTTACGTCTAGACTATGTTTCGAAGGGCTCGGAGCTCGCGGAAGGGCCATGTAAAGGCGAGTCCAAAAAAAGAAGTGGTCCGAGGGCGCGTACCCCAAAAGCCAGGCCCCCAAAACTCTCCAAAATCAAAGCCCAGCTCTGCATCTCCAGGCCGAAGGAGGCGGTGGTCAAGAAGCCTGTCGTCTCTCGCAAGAGGCTGTCCAGGCGAAACTTTGAGAAATGAAGACATGGTCCGACATGTCCGCGGGATGAACGTTTTAGGGTCTGTGGTCGATGGGGTTTAGGACTGCTTGGCAGTCAGCTCGTCACAGGGCCACCTGCAGCCGGTCGCATCTCGAGCCAGGGCAGCCTTTGACTCTAAGCCAAAACTATCCACCAAGGCCGGCTGCCTAAGAGAAATCTTTAGCATGCTGAATCTCGTGTGACTCGACGTTCAGTGTCTGAAGTCACCATGTTGATGGCGACGGTTCACCTGCTGCCTTGGACGCTGGTCTGCCAAGTCCGGGACAGATGCTCCGCGAGATGCTTTCCCTCGCACTGGAAGTACACCTGCGACCTCGGCAATGTCTGCGAGCGGGGCAATTTGGGTGCCCTCGAAGATTGGATGCCTCGGAAGGATCGACGAGATGGACTCCCACAATAGACCGCAGGAAGACATCTTCACAGGAGCGGAAGGCACAGGACAGCAATTTCACAGCCCAGAACAGCAACAACGCAACTGGACAGCAGGAGCAGCCACCGTCAAACGAACAAAAATCGTCTCGGCAGAGAGCCCGAGAGCCCGAGGCCGATGAGGTCGGACTCGGGGGCCAGCAATTTGCTTCGGCATTGATCCAGAGGCCTGCAGGTCATGGACAAGCACCACCGAGACATTCCAAAAAGCATGTGACAGACTTCAGCAGAGCATGTGGTGTTCCCGCGTGTTCTCGCCATGCGATCGTAGTTCTCAGAAAGCTCCCGGCTTCCCGTGCGTTGAGCAGGCATCTCCGGATTCTCGGCCGGGTGAAGTCGCCGCAGCCAAGCCTGGTGATGTCAAGGTTCGTGTCTCGCATTCTTGATTGCCTGAAAGAGCTGTCACCACAATCCTTGCCCTGCCTGCGTTTGCAGTGCCACCGCGTGCTGGTGGACTTCGTTCCCCACAGTAGGGATTATGGTGAGATGCCCATCTCAGCAGGCGAAGAGGCGCGCACACGCAGGCGCTTTGATGCTTGACTGCCGGACGTCACGTTCCGTGTGCGTGAGGTCACAATTCGCTACCCACCTTCCGAGGACGGGTTTCATCCGACGTCATAGTAAGGCACCTGACTGTCAGCGCCTCGCCGCACCCCAAGGACTGGATTTTTGGTTGGAAAGACTGGCCGGAGCACGATGAGGCCGCCGCCATGTAGTGCCCTGTGCCTCCCTACATCCAGAGGTAGGCCTGAGCCCCTCAAGCCTGAAACTTCAACACCGCAATCTCAGCGGTATCGGCGTGCCGCTGCCAGGGGTGGATTCCGGCACAGTGCCTGGGCATCGGCGCGCCTGACAGACTTGAGGGATGTTCAGGGGAGGGGGGATAACCCCTTCAGCTTCTAGCACTGTGTGTGTGCTGCTCCTTTCACTACGATTCGGGGATGGTTTGGGCTCAGGGTTATGGGTCAACAGGTTTCGGATTTATTTCGTTCAGGGGACCTGTGGGAAGGATCGCTGCGTCTTCTCTTGCCTGCTAGGCATCAGCCTGGACGAAGACGATGTACAGGCACGGCCGGTGCAGATTTCTTCTTCTTCTTCTCCGTCTTCTTCTATTTTGAGTTTGTGTGGAGGCGGCTGAAGACAGGCGCACCGGTTCGTTTGGGCCTCTGAGAATGAGCGCAGCCCTTATGGGTGCGGCCTTTTGCTAGCCACAGGTCACAGCCGAGCAGCGCAATGCCAACGCTGCCAAACGAGGACTGGCGTGCGGGGTTTGTGTCGCAGTGTTGGGTCTGAGGGCTGTGGAGAATGGCAGGCGGGCAAGAAGCATGGTCGCGACGTCTTTGCGCGCACCTCAGTTTTCTTGTTATGAACCCGAAGCGGAAGATTGGCAGCCGGTTCCAAAAAGCAGCGGAGGTCTATGCTGATGGCGCCGTGTTCAAAGCCGATTGGCAGGAGGATGCTCTAGATGGGGTCGTATGCCCAGGTTGAATTTCCTTTGCTCTAAGGCTTGTGCAACCTCGCATTCTGTAGCTACTCATTCTCCTCTCTGTCACCCCCTCTTTCCTGTCTCCTCCACGTTTTCTCTCGCCCTCTCTCTGTGTTCCTCTCTCTCTCTCTCTCTCTCTCTCGTGTGCATCTCCCCTTTTTTCACTTCCACTACAGTAGTTTCCCTTGCTCCATGCAATACAAATCCAGACCTTGAGGTGTCTGTCCAGAACATGCCGCCCAGCTGGCATCCCAGCCGTTGGAAATGACACATGATTTTGCCATCTTCAACCCGTACAGTACCTGTACAAAGGTTCGGGAAAGAGCCCAGTCGAAGCCAAGGAGGAGAAGGCAGACCCCAGAGCCTGAGCCCCCAGAGCCAGAGCTCATGGACTCGACAGGAGGATGCTGAGCCGGCGGCTCAGACCCTGGTTGAGATGCCGTCGCCCTTCCTTTCTGCCTCCTTCCGCTCTGAGTACACCCCTCCGGTACTCTCACGGCCTTGATGTTGTCCCGCGAGCTGATGGTGCCTCCCTTGCCAAAAGGAAATGGCATCAGCATGGCAACTGGTGGAGCAAACAGCGACATCTGAAGACCGCTCAGGCTGGTTCTGTCAGAGTGCATTGGTAATGTTGGCGAGGATTGTCAGGTGGAGGGGTGTAGGGGGCTTGAACATGAAGTGAGTTCTGACAGAGCGAGGGCCGAGCACTTCTGAACCATTCAAGAACAGCCAAGCTGTCTTCTCCAGCGTGTAGTGTCGATGTCAAACGTCGAGGAAACCAACGAGGCTCCACGGCGGCCGGCCAATCCCGATCAGACGCGTGCTCAGACGGACGAGCCGCTCTGAAGCCTCTACCTCTTGCTTTGTGCCCTTTCTGAGTCCCGGCTCAGGTTCAACGCCCGCATAGCGGCGCGTGCACTTGCGGCAGCGACCGCCAATCAATCGAAGTCCTAAGCCCAATGTAACGACTCCCAGCTCTCAGAATCCAAACACACAAGGGCTAACGGCCGAATCCCCAAGGCCGCCAAGGCCTGAAGGCCCGACAACTCACGGTCCAGAGCCCCCCAGGGATGTGTGCGGGTACTCGATCCAAGCCCGCGTGCGGGCGCTTGGTAGTGCTTCCACCCGAGACTCGACGCCTTATGCCCTGGAATCCGACAAAACGACACGTGGTTGTTGCATGGCTGCTGCGTTTGTCGTCCCGACATCATTTTTGCTATGCATAGGTATCTATGTGCTGCTGTCGAGCCCAACAACCAATTTCGTATACTTACACTGTCGAGTTAGGGGTTGGTTACGGTTACTTTAGGGCATCATCAAATATTTGGGGTTTCGAAGTTCAGGATCTAGAGCTTTATCTGAGATTCTTGGGTTTGAAGCGTGGGATCTGGAATTTCGAGCTGAAAGGGGAAGCAAATTACAGGCTTTGCCAGTTTCTGGTTTACAGTTCCGGATTGAGGCTTGCGAGTCTCGGCTTTAGGCAGATGAATCTGGGCTCTAGTACATATTTAGGGGCTTAGTGTTTACGATTGAATGGTTTAGAATTGGGATTTATGTGGTTCTGGCGTTAAGAGCCATTTAATGGCTTAGTCAGTGTAGGGTTTAGAATTCAGGGTTCCGGGTTTAGAGTTTAGGACCTAGGTAGCTTAGTGATTTCACTTTTCGGTTTTCGATATGAAAATATTTGAAGCCGCTAAGGTTTCAGAGATATTCAGTCGAGGGCTTCGCGTTGGGGACTCGTTTCTTGGGTTTTGCGTTTACTGTCTTCGATATTCAGTGTTTGGAGTTGAGGGTTGTGGGGTTTGGCCGTTTGAGGGTTCAGGGCTCAGGATCTGGAGTTGTTGCTGATAGCTTCAGCCGCGGCTGGGGTGTAGAGATGAGTAATGTTCAGCACAAGTTAAAAGCAGACTAGGGTTCAACCAGTTTGGGGTTTTGAGTTCATGATGTCATCGGCTTAGGCAGCCTAGGGTTCAGGGTTCGGAAGTTCAGGGCTTCGAGTTGGAGCTTTTCGATGAAGATTTCCTACTCCTACGCCCACGCCTACGCCTACTCCGACTCCTCTAACTGATGCTGCTGCTACTACTGCTGGTGCTGCTACCGCTACCGCCATCGCCACCGTGACTGCTGCCGCTGCGACAAGACAAGCATCCAAGAATCCGCGAAGAAACCATTTCCAGGAGAACGAATATTGATCGCCGCCCATATGTAGAGTTTGGAGTTTAGTCAGTTCAAGGTCTACTCGTGAGGGTTCAGGGTTTCGGCAGTTTAGGTTTTCGACTTGGTCATTCTAGGATTCAGAGTTTAGACTTCAGGGCTTCGTCAGTGTAGGTTTAGAGTTCCGGGTTGTATGTTGAGGGTTTCGGCCTAGGTAACCCTGAACAAAAAATCAGGGCAGTTTAAACTTTAGAGTTTGGGATCCATTTCTACATCCGGGTGTAAAGTGTAATGTGTTCCATAAAACCGTGGGCACAATGCTTTTGGATCAAGGAGGAACTCGTCCCCGCTTTCGCAGCCTGCTATTCAGCATCTTGTGCCACCTTTCCTTTGAAGCACACGCTGCCTCGTTTCAAGTTGTGGGAATTGAATGTGAAGGTTTGCTGTGCGCCAAGTGAGCCGTGCAAGCCTGCTGAGCCTTTCACAAGCAGCCTTCTGTTGCCGCCAGGCCATGGGCAAGGGAAAGTTCACGATCGACAAGTCCCTGGAGGCATCAGCTCCCGACGCGTTTTTTCTCGGGGCTTCTACTCCATGGCCCCCTCGTCTCCCATGCGCCTCTCTGCACCGGACAGGCCAACATGCATCAGTACCAGATCGTTGGCCGCGCCGCTCCCACCCCGAAGAACCCAACGCCGAAGATTTACCGCATGAGGACCGGGAGTGGTTGCGGGGGTGGAGGGGGGGGGGGGGGGGNNGGGGGGGGGGGGGGGGGGGGTAAGTTGTCTTTTGAATGTGAACCGGCAGTCCCTGTGGCTTCTTGCCAGGATTTTCGCTCGTAACGTGGTGCTGGCAAAGTCCCGCTTCTGGTACTTCATGAAGAGGCTCAACAAGGCCAGATGGGATGGTTGGGTTAGGCCTCAAAGCCAGTTTAGATGCAGCATCGGAAGCTGCTACGAGGCCAAGAAGAGTGGCGGCGAGCTGCTGTCTGTGAACGAGCTGCACGACACTTCCCCCACTAAGGCCTGGACTTGGACTTGGCCGTGTCCACCAAACGTGACAGTGTGGAAAGTTCAGATAAATTACAGGTGAAGAACTATGGCATCTGGCTGCGCTATGACAGTCGCACCAACACCCACAACATGTACAAGGAAGGGACGCACTGCAGATGAGAGCTCAGCACAGCGGCCTCCCCTCCCGGCCTCCAGGAGTTCCGCAATGTGAACATCAATGGTGCCGTCGGGCAGCTGTGCGCCGCACATGTGCTCGCCATGCTAGATCTCTCAGCTTTCACTTTCAGCCCAGGCGTGGCCGCGCTTGTGGCATGGCATAGAGGCCCTTCACACGGCAGGTATCAGGAGATGGCCGGCCGACACCGGGCGGACCCTGGATCCATTCAGATTATCCATGCAGCCATCTCAGGTTCTCTCAGTAGGCAAAGGCCTTTCCATCCGAGTTCTTCGAGTCGTCAAATCCAAATCGTGGTGACTTGCCACAGCGGCCGTTGGCCATCTTTGCTGCTTAAGGCCACCACCATCCCCGATGACAAGTGCCGCCGTGAGCATGTGCTGGACTGCGGAAGTGTAGATGAGATTGGTGCAGTGAGACAGTGTGAGAGAAGCATTTCGACTTGGCATCATCTTGGCATCAGGAGATGCACGACCGTAAGCTCAAGTTCCCCGTGATCAGGACATGGTGTTGGGCTCGACCAAGCGAGCATTTGATCCCTTGCTTCTCATCCTGCCCCACTGCTGCGTCCATGCCTGGTTGCCGTCGCATGCTGCTGCATTAACAGAATCATCACGCTACCTTAGGGTAGGCCGTGCACTTTCGGTCAACCATCTTGCATCAACCATTCTACGTGTCGCGTTACTTCAGAGAGATGCTCGGTGGACCCCTGGGGCAAGGCAGGGGTCGCTGTTGCCAGAGCCGTGACGGACAGAGCTGTGCCAAGATGATACAGTTGCCGGCCATGATCGCGGCTGCCCACTGCAGTAACCGTCGTGACAGGCAAGCCACAAGGTGCACGCCCTCCTGGTACAGCTGCCTCGAAACAGCTACCATCGTTTGATGCGGTTTAGCTTGGTTTCGACACGATGAAACCCGCGAGGAAAATCCCTCACGCAGCCAAGAAGCTTCGCACTACCTTCAAGGTCATGCGAGGGGTCCGGGAAAGCTTAAATGGTATTGAATGATCGTTCTTGTGCCGGGTGCAGATCTCTACTGTCATCAGCTGCAGTTGTAGACCTGTAGTAGTCGGCTTTTGCACAGGCCAAGCGCCCTCAGACCTTCGTGAAGTGAGAAGGCACCTTCTGATCGACTGATGCCGTGCAGATGCAGCCTGGAGCGGGAAAAGTGGCTTAGGGGAGTTTTTCAGTCGACCGACACCAAGAATTCCAAATTCGGCTGGCGATTGCGGCCATTTCAAGCTTGCGGTGCGGACAGGGTTTCAGAGAAGCATCTTTACTCCATGCCTGCTGCCGGGTGTATAGCATCGATCTAGACTGCAGAGTGCACGACAGCACACACTTCAGCAATTCCATGGGACGTCTCGCACTATGCATCGGCGGCCACGATGCAGGAGACGCTGCTTTGCACTTTCGTTCATAGTCTTTGCTGGTGCGATCTCGTCTCAGGACCTGAAGCCTTCACTCGTGCAGAGCTTACTGTACGCCATGGTTTGAGAGTTGTCATGCCGACTCGCTTGAGAGAGTTTCAGGTTCATGCTCTGGCCGCACCGCGCTAACGCTTCACCAGCTGCGCGCAAAATCCGCCCATGTCCAAGCACTGTTGGCTGACTTGCACATCTTTGTCTGTCGGAGATTCGGTGAGGTCTCTTTCGTGGACACGGTTCATGCAGGACTTTCTGCTGCTTTGAAAAACCAAACCAAGCACCATACAGTGCCGCAGGAGAGCCCTACCACCAGAGCCAAAATGGCTACTGGGACGAGTATGGGCAATGGGTCGCCGAGGTCACGATCTCCAACTGTTTCTGCTTCAATTCCGAGGTTTCAGTTGGAAAGCAGGCTGCTCTAAAAGATAGTGATAGCAGTGACCCGAAGAAGCAACGATGTACAAGTCGCTTGCTGCTCCTGTTCCGGACAACGATCACATGTGATTGCCAGGCAGAGAAGGAAGCCCAGGACGGACTCATGGCTGTTGAAAGCATTAGCCCTGTCTTGAGAGCCCCAGGTACTGCAGCTTGATTTGAAGATGCAAATGTCGTTTCGACAAAAATTATGATTTCTTTTGGATGCAGGCTGACGCGGAGGCTGAGAACCTCAACACCCAGCGGGCTCGGCTCTCGAAATGCACGGACTTTGCACCCGAATGAATGCCTGCATTCCTTGCCTCAGGAACTGGCCCTGGCAGATCCGGCATCGGTGGTTGAGATCGCAAGTCAGAAGGCCACGGATCTTCTATGAGATTCTATCGACATTCTATCGACATCATGTTTTGTTTTTTCGATTATTTCAGGGGCTTGCACTGGGGTCGATCGCCTTCCATAAATACAAGTAGGGCAATTGCGGTTACGGACCCAAGCGGGAATCCAGCCCGAAATCTCCGGAAGTTGTTTTCGATGTGGTTCATTGCCCTCCGGGGGATACCATAAAGGCGCAGAGAGTCCAATGGAACCGGCGGAACTTTCCGAGGGCCCCGTCATTCGCAGACATTCCTTCGCGCAGTTGTTAGAGCAGTCCCACTAGGTCCAGAGTCGTGCCGAAGACGAATTTCATTTGGGTCAAGCATGCGCGGACTGCTGCAGATTAGGGAACGTCTGAAGGAGGAGAGCTTAGAGCATCTGCACTGAACCAAAGCTCTGAGTCTCGCTGATTTGGGTGAGGAATCGCAGGGTACCGGCATCTGTAATGAAAGCAAACAAATCCCGCCGAACAGTTCGAAATATTTGGCAGTCGTGGGACACCGCCTTGGATCAGTAGGATCCGAACTCTCCATCGCCCCACCGTTTGCCGCTGGCCTGCGGTTTCGCGGCAGGCTGGCAAAGCGATCACACGTGCAGAGAACAACTCAGCTGATGCACAGGCGGTGGTTGCTCAATGCTCTGCCTGGGGAGAGCGTGAAAGCATGTCGGAAAAGAGCATCAGGTATAGTATAGACCAGTCTGTCAGGATTAGGAAGGCTTGGGCCGATGTCCAGCTTGTCTGGTCAGGTCTTGCACATGCGGCTGCACGCGCAGAAGGCAACCAACCTGGTGCGCTACTTCCGGGACGAGCTGCGAGAACTTATGCGACGGCGTAGCACTGCTGGCCTCAAGCGGCAACTTGACAGCCTGGATCAGTACTTGGACACCCTCAAGACCTGTGAACATCACAATTCTGGGCGGTGCAACAAATTGAGCAAGAGGGCCTTGAGCGGCCTTGGCCATGATGCCAGTGCCGCTGCTCATGCGGTTGAACAGCTGATTCAGACGAGTCGGAATGCAAAGCGGCGTACTTTCCCAATCCTGGACCTTCTGCGCACGGGGATTGGGCCGGCTCCAGACCAACTAGATGCACTCGATGCGCCGACTCCGCCCGACTACGTTCCACCTCCGGGACCTGTCCCAGGAACTGCCGCGGGCTGTAATTGTGCTCCGCATTCGCATTGTGCCGGGCGTGGTCGGGAATTTCCATGGTGCAAGGTAAACCGAACGGAGCCTTGCTCACTGCTCTCTGAGAGGTCCTTCGTGGACGCATCTGGAGCGGACCATCGAGTTGCTGGCTCCGGACAACCACCTGCCGTCTGGGACTATTGTGGTCCCCCGAAGGAGAATTCTGAGACAGTCCATGCCGGTGCTCATTGCGAGAGAAGAGACGACATCGTTGCGAGGTATCACGATGATCCAGACTTCTGGGACAAGGACGGGAAGTTCAACTGGAACAAGGTGCCTCGCAGGGATCGCATGACCGTTGAGGCCATGGTGGTTCCCAAAGAGGGCCAAGGCCTCTGCGTGCGAACGCCCTCCAGCGGGGCGCACTACGTCTGCCCCACAGCACAGGATGATCTGGACGAGGCGAGGCCAGAAGGAACGGAGTGGGCGCGCACACGCACCTGGGACTTTTGCGTCCAGATCTCAGCCCTGTGATGCAACATGTAGCCCAACATGCTGATGATCCACATCCTTTCTGGCGAGGTCCCTGCAGCACCTGAAGAGAAAATCAAGGTCTTGCAAGAGCTGGCTCAGGAGAATCAGGTAGGGAGCCGTCGATGTTGCTTGATTAGCAGTCCTCTCGCCCCGGCAAGATTGAAAGCCAAGCGAGCGGGGTGGAGATGCAGGACGCTTCACGTCAGGGTTGCTTTGAGTGCACCCGTGCGCTGGTGTCCTTATACTGGCCCTGCTTCGCCTGTCCACTGCTTCAACTTCGGATGTGTGCAAATCTTGAAGTCTCTCTGATGTCTTGGAACTTTGCATTTTCACCACTATCTATCCGTATGCTGGTGCAAGCAGATCACTTGAAGAAGAAGCTGCACCGATTCTTGCTTTACGTAGACGCATTTTTCTTCTTATTCTCTGCCGCATGTCATGGGTACCGAATCTTCGAGGACCAAGAGACCTTCCGTAAGCCCTTCGAAAAGGCCTGGTTGGTTGAAACATCATGATCGACGCAGGTAGCCGCACTGTCCAAGTGTGTTGTGGCTTCTGTGAATGTGCCTGTGTGCGGTTGTCGTGTAGCGCACGTGTGTGTGTGTGTGTAGTAACATGCGGTAACGGCGAACGCCGCTACCACTCCGGCCCGAACGACACTCAGCTTTTCTCCTAGTCCTTTATTCCCCGACGCCATGACTGGAAACGACGGAGCCCGCGCCGTTCCAACCAAGGCGATGCCCCAACGTAAGGCGCCGCCGCAGCATCCTTCGGCGCCTGTGGCAGATCGGGGTATCCACCACGCCGTTGAAGGCATTCATGTCGTGCTGCAGGTCGGTCGCCAGGCTGCCCCGCCTGGATGAGACGACGATGGAGGATAGGGCGGCGATCATGGAGTTCGCGGCGGTGCTCACCATGGTTGGTCCAACGACGGTGCCGACGTCTGCTGCACAGGGCAGCCACGGCCGGAGAGGAGGATGAGCACTCAGCAGACAGCGGCGTCGGGTATCGACGCCATTGGAGCACCGGTGTCGGCTTGGTCCAAGTGCAGTGGACGGCACCACCGCCCACTGTCGGACGAGACGGGTCATTGTTCCTCAACGCTGACCACGACGCCAAGGCGGCGTTTGTGACTGGGCTGGTTGGTGGCGTCACTGGCCGGAGACGATGGCTCAAAGTTTGCGACGTGATGGAGGCTGAGTCGGCGGAGCAGTCTGGAGCCTCGATGCCCAGTCAGGGTGGCCATGGATGAGCGCGGCGACAGGACGAGATTGCTTCCGCCCGACACGGTCAACGGGCATCCAGGCCAGCATCGCCGCCCTCGCCGAGACCTTTGGCAACACCGGCGGCCACCGCCCAGACGCCGAACAGCTTCGCTTCTCGCCGACCAGCACGACGGGCCAGACTCGGAGGAGGTGATCACCCAAACGGCGAACATCCTCCCCGGCATGCAGAATGATGAGAATAACGGCGATCCCGACTTCAACCTGCGGCGCAGAATGAGGGGACGGAGTCGGCGGCGACCATCATTCGCGACGCCTTCGCCTGGCAGCATTCCCTGACTGGCGCCGGGGCAGATCCCAACGACGAGGATAGCGGCCTGCCACCGTGTTTATAAACACGCCACCGCCGGAGACCATCCCTGACCGAATGCCAGGCATGGGCGCCGGCACCGGCGATACATGGACCTTCGTCGACGGCTACCTCTACGTCGGGGACTATGAGACGCTAGCAAAGCCACCGCCGAGGACCCTCCTGGAGCTCTGGGCGGAAATCGCGACGATGAGCACGCCGGAGCCATGAGAGCATTCGAGATGACAAGGCCAGGCAAGCCGCTACTAGTCTCATACTCGCCACACAGGATGCTTTGGCGCGACAATCAGATCATCGACGGAGCGCGCACGCAAGCGGACTCCGCTCCTGAAAGCAGGCGGCAAGGTGGAGAAAAGATGCGATTAGATGGTCACGTGATTCACAGCCCTCTGCAGAGGGCACGCAGTGATCTTGGGCGCAACCGTGTTCCACGGCCCAGGGAGCCCGGCTCTACCAGATGCGAGAGGCCAACAGCCTCTAACCAGAGGCACGCACAGAGCAGTTGGCGCTACTGCAAAATGCTTGCAGCTTGCAAAATTCAAAAACGCCAGGCCTACCCCAATCCGAGGCTGTTGCAAGCTGTAAGTTCACGAACAGTAGTGCACATGACCGTGTACAGGATGCATCGTCAGTTGGCAAGTCAAAAGCTCTGTACTGCCTGCCACGGGATGGAGATCTATGGCAATCTATGGACATTTGCGCGGCAGACCTGCTAATACACAGCTCGACACTGCGATGGAGGGTGCGTTGGCAACAGGGTCATTGCATGACTTCGGACATCTGCACTGCGACACCAACACACACCAGGCCTGCGCCAAGGCACAGATGATTGCAGTGTCTTGTGGGCCATGTGTAGCAAAGCAGCAAAAGGGGTACTGTCAGGACTCATGCGCAGACATCTCCTTGCCACATCTTGCCGCTAATCGCACCATTAATAGACCTGTATCCATCGCAGGTCTCAAGACAGGCGAAGCGAAGATCCATCCCAAAGGCTTTGGCAGGTATAAGCAGAGACTCTCATGAACAAGGGGGTTCCCAAGGAAGGTACTGTCGACACCTAGGTACAGCGTTGCTTAAGCTATGCCGCAGAGGTACGCAAACCGGTGCTGAGACCTTTAGGCCTAGAAGCCAGATGAGACGATGCCGCCGAGCCCATATTCGAAGAAAACATCCGCGCGGTGGCTGCCATCGCATCTCGGCCTTGAGAGAGCTCCGAGAGAGGGCGCCGCCCGGGAAGACACAGAGCCGAGCAGGAGGGTCTCCTGCACAGGCATGTCTGGCAGCACTGCCTCCAGCTGAAGCCTCCGGTTTATCAACTCGCTTCCACCGCCGCCGGCATCCTCTTATCCCACATTCTCTGTGCAGATCCCAAGTGCAGGTCGCGAGCGGAGCAAGAGGGAGGTAGCTTGCCAAACAGGCTCTACTGGAACAGGCCTCCAGCGTACTCGCTGGGGGGCCGCGGAACAGCGTCCCATCATGACTGCAGACACCCTACAGCGCCTACCGGCTGTGATGATGTGCCTCCGCATGCTGCAGCCCTTCGAAGCCGTACTCCTGGAGTACCACGATGCAGGACACTTTGTGTCGACATTCCGAGTTCCACTCAGATGGAGCCAGCAAATGATCAGTGGGCATCTGCATTATAAGAAATGCTGCCGTCGCAGCGGCGAAGGAGCTACGAACGATCGTGCTTCTTCTTGCCCAAAGCGCCCGCCTCAAGGCCCTTCTCAAATGGCGCGAAGAGCAGGGTGGAGGCAGTCCGTTCTGCTTTTAGAAGTACTACAGCTACTTAGCCCAAGCGGCCCCTACACAGATCGCAGCGGGAACAACGGAGCACGACCGTCCACAAGGCCGAAACAGCTCTTGAGCAGAAGAGACGTCGACTCTGGATGAACAGGATTCGTGGTCTCCGCATCCTGAGCAGAAGCCGAGCCAAGCCAGTCAAGGACTCAGGACAGGCCAGACGCAGGTGCAGAGACAGTGGGAAGTGGCGGGACAAATCGAAGGCTGCAAGGGCACTTCTCAGCTGGATATACGCAGAATCGAAGCCAATTGAAGCCCCGTCCCGGAATTCGCGCAGCATTCCACCGCAATATGCAGTGAAGCTGCACAGGTCCTAAAAATCCTGCCTGCAGAAATGCGCGTCAAAAGAAGGACGAGCTTGCCCGGTCCCAAGTCCGGCCGGGCTCTGCGCGTATTTCATGATACGCACACATTGCATAATGGGCGCACGGGGGTGAGGGTTCTCTCCTCGCGCACTGAGGAGAAATCCTCAAGCCGTCGAGTATTCCAAACCCACCACGGGTGGGGAAGCATGTGGGAAGCAGCGCAACGCTGCCAGTGATCAAAGTCGCTGGACCGCAGCGATGCGACACAAGCGGGCTCCTCAATCACAAGCCTTCACGGATTCACGCTCTATCGAGGGCGCTTTCGGCGTTGCAGCCAACTGAAAACACCGCTGACCAGCCAAAGCGGGGATGAAGACTGCTCCCAAAAGAAACCTGCTTACAGATCGAGGGGTGGAGCCACTCAAAGGGTGCACGGTACTCACTGTCAACCCTCAACCCTCAACAGCCTTAGCGGGTTTCTTTGGGGGAGATTTAAGGCATGCATCACGGGGGAAGGCCAGCAGTATGACTGCATTTTCCTTCAGGCGACGCATCGCGCATCTTCGTGCCCTTTTTCAGATTGATGAACGGATGGCTGTTGGATCGGCGACGAAGAGAGGAAAGCGGGTCTTGACTACGGTGAACCCCAGAGTGCGACCCTGCTCTTGTTAGATTCAAGGAAATAACGCCAGGCAGGGGCCTCAGGGTCAAAGTGTGTCACGACACCGCTTCCATCGAGACGCTGAACGCTTTTCAGCACGTGTGAATGCACACAGACGAGCCGGAGAAGAATCGTCGTCACAGCCTGTTGGCCAAATGCACTGCGGCCATACAAGGCATGTCGCGGGATACATTTGATAGTTGCAGGCCATGTCAACTCGGAGCTGAACAGGGTGCCACTTCTCATTGGACAGCGGCTCAACTCTCAACTGCTCTGAATACCATATGAGGCCCTTGACCCACATACGCTCACTAGATTTGATCAGGCCAACGACTTGGTGGCGTTAAGCACCTGGCAAGCAGGGGACCCATGCACGAATTACTTTGATTCCCTGATGCTCGGAATACCAAGTGCTGATCAACAGGCCAAACATGTACAGCAGGCAGAGGCTCCGTTTGGCCCTAGGAATGAGATGACGCACTGGGCCCTCTCTGCAAGCGTCAGAATCATCAGACACTTTCAGCTGCCGAAGGCCACTGTTGGCAATAATAACACTCACCCCAAGGCAGCGCTGGAGTCAGCGTGCCGCAGAACTGACCCTGCCATCCAGAAGATGTCGCGGATCGTTTCCGCGCGACACCGCCAACGACATCCTCATCCACACTGTTTGCAACCTTTTCCCACCGGTATAGAGGCAGGTTTCGGCGCACACAGCGAATCGACAGCTGTCGCGCCATCTTTAGGCCTGGAGACATACTCTCACGCGCCCCGACGGTGAAGGTGGCACTGCACTCACTATGCCCGAGCAAGTGTACCGCATGTGGCACCGCAGAAGAGACCTGCGCAATTGCAAAGCATACTCAGTTGGAAGTGGGTAGTGCTCTTCCTCAAGGCAGGGGATCGACAACAAGCAGCTCCATGCGCAGAATCAGCGGACAACCGCCCTGGGCTACCTGCAGCAAGCAGAAAGGGCAGCCAATTCGCGCAATGCAAAATGCCTCTACGGAGCTGTCCAACGGACGATCCCATGGACGCCTACGCAGCGAATCATGTTTAAACATCCGGCATGTCCATGAAACAGGAACATCAGGCGCTTGTTGCGCACTCTTTTTGCTCCATTGGTAGATGTACCGGAGAGAGTGGGGTCACAGCTCTGCGTGCCACTGACGGAGGCAGATTGGCAGAACCAGCTCAAGCGCACTCCGCTGGGGAAGGCTGTGCCTGCGGACTCCACTCCGGCCACAGCTTGGAAGATATGCTCACAAGCCATAGCTCCCGCTCTAGCCAGGACATCGGAGCTCTTGCAGGATGTCCAGACTGCTCTGCCACAAGCCTGGATAGATCCGCAGCTGTGCTTTCTTCCTAAGCCACACGAAGCACCGCCGTTTGCAACAGCTATGCGGCTTATTGCGATGCTGAGACCAGTTGGAAAAGCCTTTGCAAGGCACATCAAATCTGTGCTGCTATGCCAGGCCGGGCCGTGCCTGGCACACACTCCACAGTACGAGTGCCTGCCAAATCGCGACGCGGCGGCCGCTTCACTTTCAGACAGCGACAAGAAGCGAGACAAGATGCTCAAAAAGCTGGCGGCTGCTTGCCATCCATAGACCTAAGCCAACCCTTCGATCGAGTCAACCACACCAAGCTTGACCGTGCCCTGGAGAAACATCAAGTGGACAAAGAAGCGAGGTCTACAGTCTACGGCGGGTGCCATCCATGATCAGGCAGCATATCAGGCCAATGACAAATTTTCAGGCAACCAACGTCACTACCGCCCCAAGGTATCAGACAGGGCTGCCGTTTAGCGCCGGCGCTGTGGGCCCTGCTGTCGTCGCAGGTCCTTTGGGACATGATGCCGCCTGAGTCCACGTCGCTGCGTCTGCCATTTACATTATTTGCCGACGACCACTTAGGCCACAAGATGCTCAGGAGTGTAGCAGACATTTAGCAGATGGAAGCATTCGTGCTACAACTATTCAGACTCCTTCGGCTTACCATCTTAAGGTCAATCCAGACAAGTCGATCCAGCCTGATCATCATAGTGCAGGCAACGCAACTGATGAAGTATGTCAAGACAGCGCTGGCCGGCACGTCAGTATTCGCGCTGGAAGCTCAAAGACGATGATGAGGAACATCTGATACCCATGTGTGACGCAGCCACATATCTCGGAACGAAGCTGTCCCTGCACGAAGGGACGGACGGCACACTTGAATACCGACTGGCCGAGGTGGGCGCGCTGAGGAAGAGCGTCAGGTCCAGAAAGGTCGACTGGCCAGGCGTCACAGGGTTAGGCTCTGGCAAGCTTGCGCTGTCAGTGTCAGTTAATTGCGCCCTGTATGATTTGAGTACTACCCCTTCTTCCATGGGAACATGGTTACCAAACTTAGAGCATGGCTTCATAGGCAACCTATGTAGAGCTGTTGCCAACATGCCTGCGCACCTCGCGACAGTGAGCCACAGCAGTATGAGGGAGCAGTTCCTTCTTCAGGATCCCAGTGACACGCTCATGGACAGAATTGACCGCAAACTACGGAGACCCGGCTGTTCGAGGGCAGCAGGCCATTCAGTACTGGGGGACCCTCAGAAAGAACCTGATTAGATCGCATCCCGCACTGATCGAGGCAAACTCGCAGGCGTAACACGCATGCCCCACCTGCGGACTTCAATACCCAAAGAAGAAAGCTCTCTGCCAACATCAGACGCTCCGCCGCGGCCAAATACCGGTGGGTAAGCTCCAGGTTGAATACAGACCGGAGGCGCACTCCAGCAACGGCATGCCGTTAATGCCGTCATTGTGGACAACAGGCTGTGTAACTGGCAAGCCTTACAAGGGGCACGTGATTCTCAATGTGTGTAACTGGTATAGTCAGGCGACAACGCCGCAAAAGAACTACACGGAAGAAGTGCCCAGCGCTGGGCCGGCATCGAATGAATCAGTGGCTTCTCTGCAGGCGGTCTCCGCCGCGGGGGAGCAGGGACAGACAACACAAAAGGCACACCAACAAGCGTCATGTCATGAAGAGGTACATTGCGCAGCCCGAGCAGCGTGACGGAAACATCTCACAGGCCACACTGAACAGGGAACATTTGCTCCACCACTGCGGCTTCTGTGGGCGCTGGATTGCTGAAGAGGGTATGATAGAAACGCACAGTCTTCAGATCCATACGGACATCGCGAGACACATCACTGCTGAACTGCATAAGGCATGTGTTGCATTCAAGTACCTGCTCAAACGTGATCAGTCATGTCGCTGGTGCGAGCGTGTTGCTCCCAATGTGCGGTTCTCTTTCAACTGGTTCTGACACAGGTGGAGCGACATGCGATCTCTTCTTCACAGACTTTAAACTACCAGCGGCCTGGCCCATGACCATTCCGGATGTGGATATGGCAGCGCAGCTCTCAGAACCGACAGCCGAAAAGGTTCATCGAGGCGTGCGCAGCAGGGCAGGAGTGGCGCAACCCTGCTGCTTGATCTGCGGGGAACAAGTACAGGACATACAAAGCTGGAGAAGGCTTGTTAAGCAGAAGCACGAGGCGCGGCACCCAGACTCAGAACTTCTTGCTAAGTCCAACAACCTGATGAAGCCAGTGTAACAAGGCCATGTGCATGGTGCAAAGTCCATGTCTCTAAATCTGCTCGACAGCATAGACTGAAGTGTTTGTGCCGCTATTGCAACTGTGCCTGAGCCATGGCAGCGGCAGAACTCACCCCGGAGCAGCACATGGCATCGGTGTGGGGGCTGAGCTCGCAGATCAGGTCCAGTCCCTACTCATTCGGGCAACTCTCCGACACGAACAACAATTTACGAGGTGGACAGGTCCTACGTTTTCTTTCTCGCGACTAAAGATGTGGGCATCGAGCAAATGCTAGCTGCTAGTGCAAGCGAGCATGACATGGCATCAGAAGTTCGAGGAGAATGCACTTTCGACATCACTGAGGGCGACGCTTTGGGGAGTCCTGCTCATGGCCTTGGAGCGAAGAGCCTGCTCCAGTGGACCGCGCATTGTCCCAGTAGCGTCCTCTGCTCCATCCTGTTGATGGGACCGCGTCAACCCTGTCATGCCTGGGATGGGTGGACATGCGATTAGCATGTAGAGTGAGAATTAGATGGGCTTTTGTCGTTTTTTTGAGCGGCACCGCCAAAAAAGGTGCAGCTGACCGTGTTTTAGAGATCCTTGGAGGAAGTGGAGACCACATGTCAATCAAACCTGCATGTGCCCCTGGCTCTTTGGCCAGGGCTGTCTTGCTCACTCTCTCTCTCTCTCTCTCTCGGCGTACGCACAGTCCGACGAGCTTCCCTGCGCTGTTGTCCGCCGAGATGTCGAGGGATTTGTACACGTCCTCCGCGTGATGGTGTACAATAACATCACTAAGTACGACTTCTGAGATGTTTTAGGATTTGGATTCGGTGTACCACGTCGTTCCTGGCCGTGTTCTTGATGAGCTTGGCCACTGCCTGCTTCGCGTCCTCGTGGGAGAGATTGTCCTTGCTGGATGGTAGCGCCTTGCCCTGCTCGTGATTCCACTCGCTGTGCCGACTAGACGCTTTCTACCTGGCGGAGGATATTGTCGTGAGTTAGCCGAAGCTGCCAGAGGTTACGTTTAGCAGAGGATTCGGCTGGGAGTTCCTATGGAGGGGATGGCGACGGCCCACACGTCAACATGATGCGGCAGAATTCCTGCAACACTTCTGCGCTCAAACGGAGTGCCTGGCCCTGAGGGGAGGTTGGGAGGCCCGCAGACAGCAGGGCGAGGCTTATGAGATTCGTGATGAGCAGCTCACATGCCCACGCATCAGACTGGTGCTTCATAGGCCCTTCACCATCCAGAACGCGGTGCAGCAAAAGTCCAGACACACTTTCCAATTCAATACGAACATCATGGTGCCAGTATACACTGGACATGGCGGTGAGATCCCTTCCATTCAATGCAAGCTGCGTGTAGGTGTCCTGCACATAGGAAAGGCTGTGACAGCAGGGCATTATCAATCATTCTACCTTCCTGATGAGCAAGGGTCTATCAAGCGGCTACCCCAGACATGGCTGCCAGTCGTCAAGCGAGCTTCACAAACAGCTATCTACTGGCGTTTCGAGAGATTGAGTCTCCGTGATCTTTAGTGCGGGATTGTGGGTGCCACTCCCAACTGAGCCAAGGCCCTCAACGCTGAGAAGTGATCCTAAACCAATGTGAAGCAGTTGGAGGCACCCTCACTGCTTGGACAATTTCGTATAGCATAATGACGGCCACATGTTCAACAAGTCAGTCCTACTTCCACGAGCTCGTAGTCCCTCCGTTGAGTCACGCAAGGGACTTGACCCAACTTTTAAACTTCAGTGGTTCCGCTGCTGTTGTCGGGCCTCTGGAGCACAATGGCAGACAACGGCTGTTTTGCAAGTCGCAATGTAATGATCGCTGGCGATCCTTCACTGTAGGGGTGACTAGCTCACAGCTGACTGAGCTGATGCGCTTGAATGAAAAAAACGCCGTGTCCAGAGACGACGTCGAGCGAGTCCGACAGGAAGGATGGACCCGAGTTCACGGCCCCCACGACGAGATCCTCGGCATCTTCGCCAATGCGGTCAGCGACCTGGAGTTTGCCACCGCAGGGAGGCCGACGAGCTTTTCCTGATGGCGCAGGACGTCCACTTTGAGCCTGCGCGTGGACGCGGTGCGCACGGCGGGTGCAGAAGGCGCCAGCACCGGCTATCCGTTCCAGCCTGTTTCGTCGCCGAACAGCGTGATACAGTGCCAAAGAAGTGCGTCAAATGAGTACAGTTTTGGTTCAACTGCGGTCGGAGTGCCCCGCATGTTCCGTAGCGCACCTGTGTGTGCAGTAACATGTGGTAACCGCGAACGCCGCTAGCACTCTGGCCCGAACGACGTTCAGCTTTGCTCCCACCCTCACCACCCAAAGCTGCCTTATCGGTGGACGGCGAACCGAAGTGGGCCGGATCTGCGCCCCGGCACTGGCTAGCCGTTCCAGCTTGTTTCGCCGCCGAACGGCGTGACACAACGCATAAACCACACGACGAACAAAAATGAGTTGTTGTTCAACGTCGGTCGGAGTGCCCCGCATGTTGCATCATGCTGCCTCACTGCAGTCAGGATCCTGCAACCGAGACTCAGGACCGCTGTTGCATGAAAAAGCGCAGTTTATGTGATGCAGCATGTGTGCGCCTTTTTGCATGATGAGCAGGAAGTGGCTCTGCAGCAGCAAGACTACAGTCAGCAGCCTGCTTATGACAACGGATTCGGTGGACCGGCTTTTCAACAAGGCAATGACTAGAATTTGCCTGTGTTAGCTGATCTGCCCAAAATAATAGCCAACATGCGGCGACGAGATTCAAGACAGTTGGCAGGGTTTGGCCTATCTTTTCTTTCAGCAGCGCTTCTGGGAGTCGACGCCCCAGTGTTTGCGTCTCGCTCATCCACAATCGCAGCGAACAGCTCATTTCTTGGATTCCCCGATGGTGCCTGAGCAGTCTAGGTGCTCCCCTGGGTCGGCCGACCAGATCACAAGAGCGATTATGCGACTAGGCGGAAGCAGGGTCGGCGACGCCAGATCCAATTTCGTGTTGCATCTTGCAAAGAGGATTGCTTGGCTTTGTACACTCAGGCAACCTTCTTGTAGCTCCGTATGGTTGTTGCCTACATCCAGCTACAATCTCGACAAAAAAAAATTTGGGTCGTATCTCTAGAGTTTTTCTAGATAATTAGCGAATAGAACTCATATCCTATATTATGGCTTTTAAAAAATAGGATTCACTTTTCTTGATTTCAAACTAAAATATGAGATATTAACTCTCTCTTATACAAAATTAATAGTAAAAGATAAATAATAAAAATTTTAATGAAATGAAATAATTTATTCGTTATTATTTCTTGATTTTCCGACGAAATTAGATTGAGAAAAAAGAAAAAAATTTCGTAATGATAAGAACAAATATTTATAAGATGATAAATTTTATTTTTATTATACTATTATATATTATATCTAAATAATTTTTTCTTGCATGAAATTCTCTAAAATTCGTACATTGTTTATCTTTAAGTTCTAATAATTTTCAAGATATTATGATAGAATTCATTTTTTGTCTCTATTTATGCGTTGTTTTCGTACGATTAATTCGGTGGTATCGAAATTTATATATTTAATATATATTTTTATTTATAATAATTTATGGATGCAAAATTTGATATTTTTTATATTATAGATATTGGTATTTATTTAATATAATGATAATTGATATTATATCGTCTAGGGAAATTTTCGAATAGTATTAATTTTTTTATGGATCGTATATCGTGGCCTTTGCTTGATTTGTCGATTTGATATTTATTATCGAGTACTATTGGAGTGCAATTATAATAAATAAAGGGTATGATCGGATTCTACCACTCTTATATTCGAATATGATATGAGATTTATTTTATTTTCTTTTTAGAAAGGATCGTATGATTCTTGATGCAAAATTTAAATTTGACTTGTTTCATCTAAAAATTATTATTTTTTGAGAGATCGTTTTGATAAACATTAAAGATTTGATGGAGATTATTTCATTCCTAAAAGATTTTTTCATAATCTATATATTGATATTTGAGATTAATCTCTTATCGAATATTTTTGCCTTCTTCGTTTTTGCGAATATTTATAATAGGCTCTCTCCGCTGCCGTCGTCCAAGACCTATCGCTTCCCGCGAGGTATTTCCACTACGATATTGAAAAGAAAACAACACGTCGGATTGCTTCGTCTGCTCGTGCCTGAAGTTGACGCTCGGTGTCATCCTGTCGCGTAGCTGACTGGCCTTCTGTGCGACTCCCTGCTGTTCTTCCGCGCTGGCCTTGTCTTCCTTCTGGGCTGGATCTTGTTCTTTGGCCTGGCCTTCCTTCTCTGCTGGATTTTGAGCTGTGGCCTTGTGTTCATTCGGCTCTTCTCCTCCTCCGTAGCTCGTGGGCACGTGCTCCTCCTCGGGTTCCCTTTTGGGATCGTCGGTCGCTTCCGCCGATACCTTTTTGATCCGACAATGTCCTCTTCCGTGCGGCTTCCTCTCCAACAGCTCCTCGCTATAACTCTCGGAGTCGGAGGCTTCGCGACGATCCTGTCTGGTGGGCTTGATCCTGTTGGTGTTGTTGTTCTGGTTGCCCGGGTTCATGTTGGAGTTCATATTCGTGAACACCATCAAGAAATAGGCGATCGTCATTATGCCAAACGCAACGAATATCTCGATGAGCATCATGGCGATCGGCACTGAGTGCTAGCTGTATCTCTGGCGTGGTACACTTGAGAAGTTCAAGTGCTGCTCATGTCGTATGAACGTCAAGGCGGTCTCGGAAAATCACTTCCGAAATCTACTTCCGAAATCACTTCCTAATTCCCTTCCGAAACCACTTCCGAAATCACTTC